GTCATGCTTTACAACCACACAACAATACAACCATTACTGTAGCCAGGTACACACGATTCTTGACGCCACAAGTGAAGCAAATTATCAAACACGATACGGGACTTTGAGATTTGTACAGTGACTTCATCAGTCACACTTCCGTCAGCGCCAACACAACTACCGAGGATGCGGAATTCTCCACAACCTCCAGCGCTTCTCATTGAATTTAAACTGATATGTCTGTCTACTTTGCACTTTGAAGGTGCAGGAGCACGCCGAAAGATCGTAACATAGTGATCTGCTTATTTAATGGAGTTTGCACTTGGTCCTCGTCTTCAAAGAGGAAGACGAGGTTTTCTGCATACTACAGATCTACAAGGTTCTTACCAGCAACGAACTTTAAACTGATATGTCTAGTGACTTTGCACTTTGAAGGTGCAGGAGCACGCCGAAAGATCGTAACATAGTGATCTGCTTATTTAATGGAGTTTGCACTTGGTCCTCGTCTTCAAAGAGGAAGACGAGGTTTTCTGCATACTACAGATCTACAAGGTTCTTACCAGCAACGAACATAACATTGCGGTTTTGAAGACCTCCTAGCGCTCACCTTATTGGTTCATCAATGACGAAGTTGGACAATAAGGAAATCGGGAATCCTTGTCGACCACTTTTTGAATGGAAGCTTTTAGAGAGCTCGTCATACCCTCTTACACGGATGTGAATATAGGGACTGGATTGTATTCACGAATTTGTGTTGAACAAGTGTCGTTAACAGCACTGACCCATCGACAGGATCGAACGCACCCCTGAAGTCAAGGAATAGCAAGATTGTGGGTCATCTGTATATGTGGCGTTGCTCTAACACCCGACGGAGTGTGAACATGTGCTCAACACAACCCCAACCAGGCCGGAATCCCGCTTGCATCTCAAGAGTCGATGCTTCATGGTTCAAGAACAGTGTTATGACTGGAGTCAAGCCAATCGCTGTGATTAGCTCACGCACTACGGGCTCTTTTTAAAAAAACGGGTGCTAGCACCGACGCTCCTTAGTTTCTGGGATGATCTCCTTTATCAGGATAGAGGCAAACAGACCAGATAAGGACTGACTTAGGGATTCATCCCCATCATTCAAGTAGCCGGATCAGGAGCTCAGTGGTACTTGACGGAACACATGCAGTTGTTAACGTTCGAGGCCCAAGTGGGTTTCAGATTCACTGTCCAGAGTTCTAGTGGGGTTCGACAATCCCGCTGAGTGGCAGCGGGTGGCCACGGGAAGTGTTGTTCAAAGTGCTAGAACCAGCCATCAGGGCGTCCTTCTTTGTCCAACATATTCGCGCCAGTTTGATCGAACACCGGAGATTTCCGGAGGCTGATCGGACGAACCAAATGAAATCATCTTTGGCCTTTCTCAGTTTTTTGCGCCTCCTCCATTTCCTTAGCCTTTGGTGTTCACTAGACGTCACAGGCGGTGCGCACGCTGAGATCAACTGACGTCTGATAATTTACCGGGATGGATTATGTTCGGGGCTGGAGGGAACACTTTCATGAGATTCAAGAAACGCCACAGTCTTGTCTGCTATCCAGTACCCGGTATCGCCATGTCAGAGGCGGGACTCCCGACATTGTGCGAGGATTTGGCGATCTTGTTCCGACGGAGACAGTCCTGATAAATAGCCCTAGCTTGTGTCTACCGGCCTCGCAGTTGCTAAATGCTTTGTCCGCTCAAGTAGCCCTGGAAAACGAACAGAGAAGCGCATGGTCAGAATTAACTTGTTCTAAAAACGATCAGCAATCAGTTACCGGTCCGCGAGACGGCCTAAGTGGTTAGAGCGCGAATTTACTGACCGGAAGGTCCGTGGTTCGAATCCGACCGCCGCCACTCGACTTCCCCTGTCTAGGCTTGGGCAACCTGGCAGTATCCCAGCCCTCGTGCTTCCTTTGGGTAGCATGGCAGCTAGGCACCGGAAGGGTGCTACAGCTGAACGCTTATTACCGGTCCGCGCCATCGGTAAAGGATGGCAATGTGGGTAGTTTGATTCCGAGGCTGTCACACTGCTGGAAGGTGCCATGTGACCAGACGGCTTCGGCTACTTCAAAATTTAGTGATGTATAAAACAGTGTCGTCAGCACATAGCTGAAGTAGTCGTTTGTTGTTATCCATACGCACCAAGCTTAACCGAACTTGACTACCGAATCGAACCTCAGTCGAAATAAGTCTGCCTAAATGTGCATTCAAATCTCCGGCAACCACAACGATATGACTGAAACAAGGGACTCGAGGCGTCATGAAAATCGTTTTTGTTGCTGTCATGGGTAGTCGTTTGAGGCGTGAGCACACGCAATAAACACATAATGAGCAGCTTTCCACTTAGGATATTCCTTCACGGAAGCTACCAAACAAACCGCAGAGGCAAACAAGGATCCCTCAGCCTCTTGAATTAGGACGATGATGAGCTTTATAAATCCTGTAGCAGCGAGATGGCCCAAGTGGTTAGAGCGTGAATTTCCTAACCGGAAGGTCCGTGGTTCGAATCCGACCTTCGCCACTCGACTTCCCCCTGTCTAGGCTTGGACAACCTGACAGTATCCCAGCCCTCGTGGATCCTTCGGATGGCATGGCAGCTAGGCACCGGAAGGGTGCTACGCTTCTTCTTCTTCTTCTTCTGTAGCAACGATCTCTGCATTGCAAGTCAAACAGCCGGGAGCAAGTGAATAGTGATGGGACAGTTGGCTTAAAGGGCTGCGGTTGGATTTCGAATTCACCTTACCGATACACAGCACAGATCGATGCCAATTGAGGCTATCATCAAAGTCAGCAGTAAGAACCGCGTACCTGTCGTACAGTGATTCTAGCTGCCACAGTTGTTCACCTATGATTTAGGGGGATGGGTTAGATAGCTGCGCATAGGAGGCGGTAGCTGATACAATTAATGAGTAAGGGTTGTCAGTGGACTGTCATTCGGGGAGATTTGGCGGGGAGTTATGCATTGAAGACAATAGTTTGGATGCACGACCGCCATTAAGGGCGCGACTGGGCCATGTCGGACAATGTGTTTGACCATCGATGTTTCCCGTTCCGCCATCTCTATCTAGAGAGACAACAATGACCAGCTCAGCTGCGTTGTCCGGTAATGTCTTTCATAATAGGCTGCTAAGTCAATGGTTGAACTCCCCTGGCCTGTTTTCACCTTCCGCATGGTTGTAGGAAACGCCCCTTCGAGGAAGTCGGTCGGCTGACATACGAAGCACATGACCAAGCCAGCGCAACCTATGGACTGTGATCCCTCCATTTATCGCAGGCGAATTGTTTCGGTAAGCTTCAGCAATACTGATCAAGCGTTATTAGCAGACCCGAGCAATTGTCGGAAGACATCGATGGTCAAACATTGAATCTTTTGATGTCCTCAGCGCGCAGCGACCAGGTTTCTGACCCGTGTAGTAATATGGAGCACACCGCAGCGATGTATACGTGACCCTTGACAGATAAAGCATTGTGCCTAGGCCACAAATGGTTCAAGCTCACAAAAGCTGTTGTAGTCTTCCCCATCCGGATGGAAATAACATCTTTGGCGAGACCACAGGGACCGGTATATTTGCCCACATATACAGATCTGCTACCTCGATCGGCTCATCCAGAGAGCACGAGGTTAAGGTTCGAGCTCACCCAGTCTTGCAGTAGCACTTTACACCTTGCAGTTGCGAAGTGTATGCCAAACAGTGAGGCAGAATTAGTTAGACTATCCGATATTGTTTCCATTACGACGGCGTCGGCTTCAAGAAGAGCTATGTCGTCCGCGTACTCAAGATCTGCGGGCGAATGGCTCAGGAGCATTTCGGCCCCACAGGAATTCGAGACTAATAGTGAGTCTCCATAATCATACCAACAACGAATTTGAAGAAAGGTGAGAGATAACAGCCTTGTCTGAGTGAGCCCAATATGCCAGCAAGAGCAGCTTACTATCCTAATTGCTTTCGAGGCTTCAAGATTGACTCCGAGATGAGCGAAAATGTCAGCGCCGGCTGATGTGCATAAATTGCAGCTAAGACTGGCGCACGAGGTCCTAGTTTCCAACAAACGGGCCTACAGGAGATAAGGATGGAGTTGGAGGAGGTGGAAGAAGAGATGTGTCGGCAATAGCCTACTTTCCCTCACCGGCCTGGCTGTACGCAGCAAGGGAGGCGATACCATTCGATGGCCAAAGAGATTACGGTATTTTCGATTGGTTGTGTGCGGGATGAGATACTGAAAGGGCGCCCAGACTTAGACAGGAGAACGGCGATGGTTCTCACTCAATGCTTTTGGCCCAAGTCTGACCACAATGCAGGTGTGTGGCGCCCCTAATGCGGAGGACTAAGCTGTGTTGGTCAGACCTACAGACATTAACCAACTTGACATAAGACCCTATGAGTCGGGCATTTTCAGTATACCTCAATGGGTGGCGATGATACAGACCATTACAATACTGTAAGGTTCAGCCTCTTCGTGACGGTTAGTTTCGCGTACTCTCCCAGATTCTAGTAACATCCCCACACTCCCTGTCCCACTTTGGACGACGGGTCTTCTTATGATATTGTCCACCCCGGCATTCAAGCAGCACCCAAGCTGACCTCAGTTCGATGTGTCAGGCCTGGCATCGGGAAAAACCGTGAGTGGACCCGCCCCTGCATTACCGAGCAAACCACGATCGGCCGACGGTATATCAATGATCAAGATCGGTGCTGTCACCGACCCTACAGATGCTGCTACGACTTCACACTGTAACAGACACGATACCAGGATGCCACGAGTATCTCAGTACTAACTCACTCGATTCAGAAAATGAAATTAGCAACCGGTCCTCGTCATACCTCCAACAGTCACACGATGCACATCATGGGTAGGACTCGGACAGACAATTTTCCCAAGACCCATCACTGAGGTTCCCAGATTGGATGAAAAAGAACAGTTTGGAAATGAAGCGATGGAACTACTATTCAGTTAAGTAAAATCGAAACAGCACACGGTACATACGAATGAATGATTAGCCACCACGAAGGCGCAAAACCAAGTGTAGAGTGGACTCCTTCTGAATGTTGTAATCCGATAAGGTACGTCCATCTTCGAGTTGTTTGCCGGCAAAAATCAAGCGTTGCTGGTCGGGTGGGATGCCTTCCTTGTCTTGGATCTTCGCCTTCACATTCTCAATAGTATCGCTTGCTTCAACTTCAAGGGTGATCGTCTTCCCAGTAAGAGTCTTCACGAATATCTGCATGCCACCACGCAGACGAAGCACCAGATGAAGAGTGGATTCTTTCTGGATGTTGTAATCAGACAGAGTTCGACCATCTTCAAGTTGTTTGCCGGCAAAAATCAAGCGTTGCTGGTCGGGTGGGATGCCTTCCTTGTCTTGGATCTTCGCCTTCACATTCTCAATAGTATCGCTTGCTTCAACTTCAAGGGTAATCGTCTTACCGGTCAGGGTCTTCACGAATATCTGCATGCCACCACGCAGACGAAGCACCAGATGAAGAGTGGATTCTTTCTGGATGTTGTAATCAGACAGAGTTCGACCATCTTCAAGTTGTTTGCCGGCAAAAATCAAGCGTTGCTGGTCGGGTGGGATGCCTTCCTTGTCTTGGATCTTCGCCTTCACATTCTCAATAGTATCGCTTGCTTCAACTTCAAGGGTAATCGTCTTACCGGTCAGGGTCTTCACGAATATCTGCATGCCACCACGCAGACGAAGCACCAGATGAAGAGTGGATTCTTTCTGGATGTTGTAATCAGACAGAGTTCGACCATCTTCAAGTTGTTTGCCGGCAAAAATCAAGCGTTGCTGGTCGGGTGGGATGCCTTCCTTGTCTTGGATCTTCGCCTTCACATTCTCAATAGTATCGCTTGCTTCAACTTCAAGGGTAATCGTCTTACCGGTCAGGGTCTTCACGAATATCTGCATGCCACCACGCAGACGAAGCACCAGATGAAGAGTGGATTCTTTCTGGATGTTGTAATCAGACAGAGTTCGACCATCTTCAAGTTGTTTGCCGGCAAAAATCAAGCGTTGCTGGTCGGGTGGGATGCCTTCCTTGTCTTGGATCTTCGCCTTCACATTCTCAATAGTATCGCTTGCTTCAACTTCAAGGGTAATCGTCTTACCGGTCAGGGTCTTCACGAATATCTGCATGCCACCACGCAGACGAAGCACCAGATGAAGAGTGGATTCTTTCTGGATGTTGTAATCAGACAGAGTTCGACCATCTTCAAGTTGTTTGCCGGCAAAAATCAAGCGTTGCTGGTCGGGTGGGATGCCTTCCTTGTCTTGGATCTTCGCCTTCACATTCTCAATAGTATCGCTTGCTTCAACTTCAAGGGTGATCGTCTTCCCAGTAAGAGTCTTCACGAAGATCTGCATTGCTGACCGCCCGATAATCGACTAAGTGGGCAGTCCTTCTGCGTCAGAATTTATTTGCTGCCTGTCTCTGTTGCCTTGTTCTTTTGGACCAATCGACTCGCTCCACGATGGCGAATACGTAGTTGCGGTTGGTTGGAATTACTTGAAGCCAATCGCCTGTTATTATTCAACCAATCAGGTTGTTCGGCCTGTTTGTCGCGTTGTTCTTGTGTCAGCCTAAACTTTGACGTTAGTTTGTCGACTGGACTACCCACACGATCGATCGGCCCACACTACAGCCTGTCGGACTGAAGGGGTTCCCGTGCTTTCTGTTGCGCGAGGTGGCGCCCACCTTCGCACACCGTTGTTTGCCACTTATCTTCTACGTTGTCTTGGGTTGTCCACCGTACAGCAGGCTCTGCGATAATCAGGCCAAAGTTTTGAGGTTGATCGTAATTTAAGGCTAGGTTGAAATCGGTGGACAAAAAATTTCTGCGAACTTCTGGCGTTCACAGAAAAGAGGCCTGGTACAATAATGCGTGCAGTTTTACTGTGCGGACGTTTTAGTACAACGAAGTGGACTGATACAGTAAAAGGCCAAAACACCTAAAGGGGCGAAAAGTGAGTTTAACATTCTAGACCATCTTCGTACGAGATCATTTCAATGTGTGCATGGTCCCAGGAAGTTGGCTCAAGGAATTCGAAGAATGCTTGGGCGAGTTGAGATTACTATTGCGGTGAGGCGGCAAAGCACTATCAACGTGTAGGAAAGGCTATAGGCGATGCACACATTCACGTTCAGCTAAAAGGTTATGGCGGCTGCTTTTCCTAATTTTCTTAATCACACTGGAGATTTCCGAGATGAACAGTGCTGATGATTCCCGGTAAGGATAGAACAGCTGTATAACGTTTTTAAGCTTTTCGGCATAGGCCGGTTTCATTTTCAGGACGAAATCTTGATTGAAAAGAATTCAACATCCAGTCTTGAATCTGCATTTGGGACATGGGGTGTCGTGTGGACCATTGTATTTTTCCGTCCGAAGTTGCGTACCTGTATTTTCATGATTTCGTACAAAGTTTATTCGCACGTTTGCACTCCAATTTTAATCACAATCAGTTGCGCGATTTGTGTGTTGTCTGAAGTAGCCTTCTCCATATATTGGTAGACCTTAGGGTGAAAAGATATACAATTATTAGGTGGCTGATTCTTTAGACAGCGAGAAGCTCCACCGGATAGGTTGCATACATTTGTCTAGAGCCTCAAGCTACTATAGGGCTGGGAACCAGGCGTTTTAATACTAAAACGAGTCCCGTTTGAAAGTGAATAAACATGGCTTTCTGGGCTCCACAATCCCACTATACATGCTGCTGAAGCCCTTCTTCCGGATGTTAATTAAAGGTGCTGGGGAAGAAGACATCCACAACCTGACTATATTCTGTATGTACACCTTGACTTGGTCAAGGTTTTCACTAGAGAAGAGTGAAAAAGTCGGAGATGCATCAATCAGTTCAAGAGGGCTGTTGTATTTTACTCAATCACTTTGAAGTACTGAACCCGGACCTAACCACATCGACAAAAGCGAGACATTAAACTTCACGACTTTCTTGATGACAGTCGAGTTAGCGACTCCGATACAACCAGCGCATCAACGATTGAATTTTGCGAGAAAAACATGCAGGTTTTTCGTGTATATTAAATACAAACTTTCATTTTAAGTTTGGAACGATATATACACATCAAAACCTCAGTGAATTCAAATCGTCAAATCGTTACAGAATTAGTAGACAGTGTTTGTGCTACGGCTGACTTTTTTCAAGGTCTCCTCTATTTTATTCGTAGCAGTTGTTGACCTGTTAAATCCTCATCAAGGCCACGGATGAACCCATTCATAAAACTCCAAAAAACCGTTCCATAAAGTGCCTGCGGGTAGTATCCGTGCCGGTGTTACGTTCAAAAACATATCCAGGAACTTACCGCGGTCGCACCTAACACATCCCACGTATAGTAAAGCTCCGTGAATAGATGACCAACACATTGTCCATAATATGGACGAAATGATGCATTTCTCAAAGTCTGAGTGCATTTTGTGATCCGATGAATGCCATCGGCTCACCTACTGCAGCACGTTGCCATTGGCACTACAGTGGAACACAGTTGGTAAAATGCGGTCATCGACGAGCATTTTGAATGAGTCCCATAAAGTTTTCATTCTATTCTTTTCAACTTAGGACGATCTCGTGACCGACCACTGTGTAGTTATATCGTCTAAGCTATAGAACACCAGTGTCTTTAAAGAATGTGCCAGCGCAGTCCACAAAACCTTGTCAGAGTATACTTAGCATAACAGGCTACTTTGGATATGCAGCCAAAAATTGTGCTCATGTTTTCAACTTTAACGTGTTGGTAATCTGAGGTAGTGTCGGGTAAAAAAAACTGAACACCAGAATATCACGAAGAATATCACAATTGTAAGTGGGCAGAGAATTCAGAAGAGCAGCATCCAGAATGCTCTCCGGAAGTCATCATTCCCAGCTAGCTTAAAGATCAGAAAACTCATTTTCTTGGGCACACCATTAATCACAAGATAAATACTTCAAACTCACTACGGTCATCTCTGTCCCATTCCCAGTCGAATGTTGTATTTTTTGCAGCAGTGGTGTACTACGAATTTATGTGATTTGAAGGCATTGTACTATTGCGAACCCGACAGCGTTAAACCCTTTCCCACCTCCGTGGATTATAGAAGACATCAGCAACTGACGAGTTTCAAAAACGCATTTCATCTTGTCGTTATCTAGCCACCGTTGTTCTGATGGTGATTTGTCTAAACTGGTAAGGACAGGTCGTTACAGTAATCACCATTATTATCTGAAACCGCTGTCGGTTCACCAGTTAGTCGCAGGAACGTCAATCATAGAATGTTCCATATTCACACACTAATTTGGCCGAAATGTGAGATAAACCAGTAGCCCATCATGTCACTCCAGTGTTTTAAGTGAATTTTAACGTGAGTTGAGCGCTTTTCGGTTGTTTTAAATCGAAAAACTACCGTTTCCTCGCAGATGTGAAAATGTTCGGGTTTTCGTACTAATACTTAGTGGTTAACGGTCTTACCACTACCAAACGTACTACTATCTACCTGTGTTGTTGTGTTGCTCGGCACCCTTTCAGGGCCTAACTGCCATGCCACCAGAAGGAACCACGACGGCTGAGGTACTGCCAGTTTGCCCAAGCCTAGACAGGAGAAGTCGAGAGGCAGAGGTCAGGTTCAAACCACGGATCTGCCGGTCAGTAAATTCACGTTTTAACCACTGAGCCATCTCGACCCCCTACTACCTACCTGGCTACTATCAATACCCAATGCACACCTGCACAGTATCATGATATCTTTTAAAATAGCTTTACTTGACAGCAGCTGAGGTTGAAGTCCCAATGAGGTTGCTGGCGTGTGAGACCGGTACCGATAACATCTAACTAATCCACTGCAAAGTAACGACACAGAGATCCACCTGGCTTCAGTTAGTCTGCAACCGAGACTTAGTTTGACTTGCTTTACGATTCGAAATGGACACACCACCAAGTAAGTTGGCTGTTAATCAAAGACGCATCTTGGTGGTGTATTTAGCCCGGGAGAAAAATGCAGTGGCAGTGTTCTGTATTTTTTTTTTTGAAAATTTGAACTTACCACCACTCGTTACTGAGTAGTACCGACCTTAGACGCAATGGCCACTGTGATTTTATCTGGTTTCCCTCTGGCGCTGAGTAGCCTTGGAGTCAAACTCGCCACTTCGCCGGCGGTTAAAAATGACACGGTTAAGTCCTCCACTGCCGACTGCTTTGAATACGGACGTTGATTCAGATCACGCTGTCCCGCGGTGCATAGTTTCCTTATACTTCGTCCGTAAACCCAAGAAACGAGCTTCAGATTTAGCGGAAGAAAAGCTTCACTAGCCACCAGTTAAGGAAACATACCAAAGTTTAAAAAAGTGCTTTGGAACGACAGAGAAGTCGTTGTTTTACTATGTGTTGCGTTACAAGCGGTCTCTTCGGAAGGCATTGATGTGACTCCGAAAGCTCAGTCTGTTGTGTTCAAGAGCACATACACGGAAATTACTGGACCTTAGAACGTGTACCACCAAAGGTAAATATGTGCTTCCTTGCGTCTGATTCATGCAAACACAAAACTTGCTCATATCGACAGCGTAACCGATCGATTAGTATTAATCGTAATGAATCTGACACTTCACTGTTATGCTACGAACATCGCGCATGTGTACTCCAGCCCAGGCACACCTATCGATTGTAGGCATCTTAGCAGCGTTTCTCACCGCATTGGCATGCAACAGAGAGTTACCAGAGTTCCCAGCGGAACAAAAGGAAAACTGACTGCAAATTTAGTGAACAGGTGATTTGACTAATGTGGGCTAAAAATATGAATGTTCCAAGTTAGATGGGGTGAGGAAACTCCAGAAAGCTAAGGTTACTCCGGCCAGTTCAGCTAGCCTCGTGAGATCTGATCATTTCATCCATTGTGAAATCTAACCAGTCGTGATCTAGACAATCGTCCAGGTTTTGGTATATGGAGTTTTTTCTAAACAGACGTGTCGGGTTCCTATTAGTTTTCTGACACTGACTGCGCATCAAGCCAATGTGAGCTTTTTAGGGTGTGAACATCCATCGATAGCTGCAAGAGTAATATGATGAGAGGTAAGTGACCAATACCAGTCTACTTCTGGAACACAATCTTTCTGTACTGTTACTAATTGTGAAGCAGACTCAAAATGTACCACAACAACGATTGTTCCGCAACTTTTTTGCCAGGGTTTGGGGTGTTTTGTCTATCCGGTTTACGAAACTGACACTAATTAGTCACAGTGCCAGGAATTTTTAGTAGGCCTATTGCATTCTAGTTCACACTCGGAATTTACTGTACACTACATTCTGTTAAGTTTCAGGAATATGAGCTCATGTGAATTTGACAGGCCGTAATCGGTATTCTGACAGCAGTACACCATCAAAG